ATAATAATAATAATAATAATAATAATAATAATAATATAATAATAATAATAATAATATAATAATAATAATAATAATAATAATAATAATAATAATAATAATAATAATAATAATAATAATAATAATAATAATAATAATAATAATAATAATAATAATAATAATAATAATAATAATAATAATAATAATAATAATAAATAATAATAATAATAATAATAAAAATAATAATAATAAAATAATAATAATAATAATAATAATAATAATAATAATAATAATAATAATAATAATAATAATAATCATAATCATAATCATAATAATAATAATAATAATAATAATAATTATAATAATAATAATAATAATCATAATAATAATAATAATAATAATAATAATAATAATAATAATAATAATAATAATAATAATTAATTAAAATAAGAATAATAATTATTATAATAATAATATTAATTTACTTTCTTAATTTAATTTGGCTAATAATAATAATAATAATAATAATTATAATAATAATAATAATAGTAATAATAATAATAATAATAATAATAATAATAATAATAATAATAATAATAATAATAATAATTAAAATAAGAATAATAATTATTATAATAATAATATTAATTTACTTTTTTAATTTAATTTGGCTTTTTTTTTCATTTAAATAAGCAGCTTGTTTTTAAAAACGTCGCTTTTGTTTAAATATAATGTTTGTTTTTTTTTTAATAAAAGTAATTTTAATAAGGTTATATTTGTTTTTGTGTGTTTTTAAATTTTGGCAGTTTTAAATTACCAGTTTTATTAAATTTTGCTTCTTTCGTTTTTTTAATGAAGAGTTTTTTTTGTAAAATATATTTAATTATATAATTACAACTTTCAAGATAACTTTAATTTAATGTAGCAACACGATCTTTATTTTTTTTTACTAAATATTCTTAAATTTATTTATTGTTGAATAATTTATCTACTCTTATAATAAAGTATGTTTTTTATCTATTTATAAATAATATATTTTATTAAATATAATGTACCTATTAAATATATATGTAGATAAAGGGATGCGCCAGTTAAAGCCATATGTAATAAAACCATATAACAATATTTTATTGATTGTTCTAAAAGTATAAACTAGTTGAATGTTAGAAAAAAGAAATTACGTTAAATTTAAGTAAATTTGGTTTTGATCATTTAAAATTGATATGAGCCATGTGGGCGATTAAACCTGTTCCGTTTCTTTTTTTTGTCTTGATTCGCCTTTTTAAAGTCACAAGTTTTATATATTATATTCGAATAAAGGTAATTTAATTTTATTTTGATATTACTATTGGAAATATATAAATTTTTTCTTGTTGTAACACTTATTTTCTACGCATTTAATTTTCTTTATTTATGTACTACTTTAATTTCAAATATGATCCCTAAAATTTTGTAATATTCGCCTTAGAAAAGTTACACAACATACGATACATAAGGCATATTTAATTTTCATTTTTATTTATATTTGATCCTTTAAGGAAAAATATTTTAAATTACCTTTAATTTTCCAGAGATATTTTTTTTTACTTCATTTCATTTCATTTGTTATTTTCATGACTTTATTTTTTTCTAATTTTGTAAAGCACTTATTGTCTTATGGCTTTATGACATACGAATTTATTTTGCGTTTGATTTTTTTTCTTATTTTATTCTGTTTACTCTAAAGTAGTTATTTTTTTGTCGGTTTTAAATGGTAAATTTTATATTTTGCATCTGGGTTTTTTAAAAAATAAGTTTTACATTTTAGTCTGTAAATTAGTATCTAAATGTAAAAAAAGTTGTCTTCCATTCTGTTAATGTTGTATATTTTTCGTTTGAGAATCCATATACATACGTTAATGCGTAGATGTGCATTTATGTGTATAACATCAAATGATATTTTATTATCTCTTTTTAAGTTTTCGATAAATTATAAGAAGTTGTTAGTTATTTTTATAATGTTATATTTTCTGCAGTATCTTCTTTATTATTTTATTATTCTTGTTTCTTTCTAAATTAAGAATGGGTTATTTTATTTGCACTTATTTTTATTGTACTATAATATGTGGAGCTGATAACAGAACGGTAACTGTAGCAATTATTGTAAATAGTGTAAAAACTATTAAACAAAATCTGAAAAGAAATCAAAAATTTTGTCCAAATTAATTTATTATCGATATGTAATATTTCAAGCGAACAAATAACATTCACAGACAATATATCTATATATATTTGTAAAATATATATGTATTTAGTATATTGCAATTAGAATTTTAATAGTTGTGCTTAATCCCAATAATACCATAATTTGTAGTAGTGTTATGAAAACGTGGAATGAGAAATTCAGCAAGTTGTTCTAATATTCAGTGATTTAAAAATTAAGGTTAACGTTAAAAAAAATAAAAGAATTATTTACACAAATAAATTTGCAATATAATAATTAGTAACATGTAGCTCATATGAAAATCTAAATACCCCGATTTAAATATTTTATGAGATTTAATCTTTAATCGGCTTTTTTGTTCTTTTCAACAACTTATTGTAATAGATAGAAGCTCGTTACTATGCTGTAACATAATATAGTTTGTATATAAAAAGAGTGATGAAACTCTGCAGTTTGTTATGATATCACGCAAACTATGTTTTGGTTAATTTAAAGACTTACAACTCGTACTAAACTTAAAATTTTAAATTACTGAATATGATGACCATTTTTTTTATAGTTTTTTAATAAAAAATTCGTAGAATATACGTTCATTTTTTAAAATATTGTATAAACTTTTAATTTGTACAATTTTTAAAACGAAATTATAAACATTAAGCTGAAACTATTAGTAATTAGGCTTTGCTTTTAAATTATATATTGAATTGTGCATCAAGAATTTGAAAAAAAATATTTTAATTATATTAACATTATTAGTTGTTTCCAATATAAAGACTAACTTCACATTTGCATATTTTACAGTATTTTTTGAAATAAAGTTTCCAAGAAATACTTAAAATTTTAAGACATTTTTTCATCAAATCAATTTTTAATGCTTGTATCGATACAGCATTTTATAAGATTATAGATAACTAAAGACTTTACCTATCCACAACCATGGCAGCAAATTTCCAATCACTAATTAATTCAGCTTCTTCATCTGCTTTTCTCATCCGCGCTGTGATAAATTGCAATTCTTTTAATATTAAATGTAAGTCTTTATGATTACAACCTATAGTTGCATGATGCTCTTCAACAGTTGTTGGTCTACCGAAACTCCTGTTAGAAAATTGTATATATATCACTTAAATTGTATTATTCTGATTGTATCATTGTATTGTTATATATGCGTATAAAAAACAGTTAGGTTAAAATTTGTTTTATTTATTTTTTAAGTAAGAAAAATAACAGAAACGAAAGCACATACGCCGACGATCCAATCGCTGTTTGCGATCCTGATATCGTATGACGAAAATCATCATCAATATCTAATACATTTGCTAGTAACGACTTAGATGATCTTTCTTTCAATTCTAGTTCCTTCATGCGATTACTTAGCAAAATTGTTTTTCTAGTTATTTTTCTCCCAGGTCGATTCATTCGTAGCATCCATGGCAGCCATTGTAAAAAAACTGATTTAATCTGTATATAATAAAAAAAAAATCACTTATAGTCTTAAATTATAATTAACAAGTAAAAACGTTTCAATCGGTATAAACCGACCGAATTATACCCTGCACCTAGACAATCTGCGTCTAAAAATTTGTTTTTGAAATATCTAGAATTAGCTTGTTTTATAACTGTTATATATCAAATATTTGAACCCATTAAACCACTCTATAGAAATTTCACTTTTTGTTTTCCGAATATTTAAAATTAGCTTTTTGAGTTGTATGGCAGCTACCCGAACCAGTGCAGCCATTCCATTAAAATCTTCAGAAAATATGTAAAGTATAATTGGACACATCTTTGCAAATTTGATAGAAATATTTATTAGTTTTTGAAGTATTTAAAAAAAATTCTTTGAGTTGTTGAATTGGCCCAATTACAACAGCAGTCGTCCTTGGTGGAAAAAAAACAACTTGTGAAAATTTTGTGTCTATTGCATTATTCGTGTTTGAGTTATAGTGCGATCGGACGGACAGACATGTCAAAATAAACGCACAATTTCACGTCGAGCAAGAATGTATATACATATATACACGTCCATACCTAAGACGACTACTTCTAGTGGTTACAAACTCCGTACCAAAGTGAATATACCCTTCACGAAGGTGCGGGGTATAAAAATGATTATAATCTTATAACTAAAAATGAAATGAAAAAGAGTTTTTGCTTGTGCAGCAACTTGTATAAAGATTCTTATATCTTGCCTTAAATTAAATGGAGAAGAGAATTTTTTGAAGCACGTTCACTACAAAAAGGCGTTGAAAGGTTTTTTAGTTTTGTTAAAGGCATTCTTTTACTAATACAGAAAAACATTTTCAAAAATGTTTTGGCTTTAATATGTTAGATTAGCTTTGTATTCTTTTTACCGACCGTATTGTGTATACAGTAGGTAGGTTATGTGATGGCAAAAAATTTTGCATATCGAGCTTTCGGTGGGAAAGTGTAAATAAACTATTTGTAGCAACTTGTCGATCTTTCGATATGTATGTGCACGCGTGTATCTCAACCGCTTCCGCCGAATTTCGCCAAATATACGTTTTTGCGTATATAAAGATAAATAATCAACCGATTTAATTGAAATTTAATATTTGAATTCTTCGTATTATGTTAAAACAATAACATATAAATTTTTTGGAAAGATCAGGGGTCGAAAACTGATCTAAGGGCCGATCTTACATTTTTCACCATGCCTACGGAACGAATTGATGGAATTCTTAAAATTTGATATTTGAGTTCTGGTTGTTACCGAAACTAATTGGCGAGCATTTCTAAGGGCCAAATTGACATTTTTATAAAATTCTGTAACACGTTCACTTAACTAGACAATACACATTGCGGTCGATTATGTGCTAACCACATCAGATTTTTTTTTTTTGGTGCAACGCTAATCTGATAAGTGAGTTCTTTTTAATTTTAATAAGCTTATTGAGTACTTATCATTTTCACTTTTGGTGCAACGAAAATTTTGCAAATTTTTTGATAATAGTTGAAAAGTATAAGTGATAAGTGGTTGGTGCAATAGGGCCCCGATATTCTGCTTGAAAGTAAAAATTGCGTTAAAAGTAAATCTGGCTATAGCACAAACGGATTAATAAAAATAAGTGAACAATGCCAAGCGTTCGGCATTGCAAATTTCATTAAAAATGAATTACAATTTTGTCAAAGCGAATTGTTTACTAGATAGATTTACTCGTTTTCGAGTTGAAAAAAAAGTACCGGACTCTTCCTGCATATAAATAAATGCTTATAACTTCGGAACCATGAAACACAGAGTAGTCATTAGTAGCTTGTTTTACAAATGATTGATTGTTCTTTTAGACTGAAAATTAATTTAATTTTTAGTGTTACAATTAATTTGATTTAAGTCACAGTTTCCGAGATACGACTCGTCAAAGTTATAATTTTAGTCTTTTTTTTTTTAAATTTTTTTTACAAAACTCGAAATTTCTCGAAAATTTTTGTAATGATTTTTTTTTTATTTTTTTCGATGCTCTGCGATGAGATCTAAGAGTTAACCCATATAATATTCTCTATCTCTCATAGATTTGCCAATAAAACGCGTTAAATGAATTCAAAAAACATGCGAAATTCGTAGCACGTGTTCAAAACTACAATTCTGAACTTACAAATTATTAATTTTGTTTATACAAACATTTTGAAGTACATATATTAGAAAACTTAAAAGTCATACAAATATTATAAAATTTGTTAATAAATTATAATAAAATAAGCAGAAAATACATAAAAAAAATAATTTTTACATTACCCATGGAGGCATTTCGTGAATGTCGGCTGTCCTATGATGGTAATTTAGCACCACTACCGTTAATACAACTGATGATGCTACCATAAACATAATGCAATTAAAATATGTACCTAGATATTGAAGATGCAGCATAATGCATTGGTTGCGCCGTGGTTTTGTTTTAGTTTTAAGAAATTTCATAAGGGTTTTAGTTTTTGTTTTGTTTGGAATAGGAGGAAAGAAAATGTAAATTAGCTACATAATATTTATAAACTTTGTTTTAAAATAAAATAAAAAAATTAATATTTTATTTAGTAAGATATAATTAATATATAATATATAAGTTCGTTTTAAAATGTGACGATTTAAATAAAATATAAATATTTTTTCTTTTTAATTAATTTTTTAACAATTTTGTTTTAGTTTTTATTTATTTGGAAATGTGTTGTTAATAATAAATTACATGAGTTTTAAAAGTATTTTTTTTTGAAATATTTTTTAATGTATTAAATGTGTTGTATATAAATATTACATGATGAATATATGTGATATATTATATAGTTTTAAAATCATACATGGAGATTTTTTTGCATAATTTATTTAACTTTTTATGTGCGCATTTTAATATAAATTTATTCGTGATTCTTTTCAGTTATTGTATTTATGATGTTTAGAATGTTCATACATATTGTAAAATACATGTTTGATTTTAAAATGTATAATATATTTTTTATAACAATTTTGATTACTTCTTTCTTATAGATTAGAGAGATTGAAAGTTTTCAATTTTTTTGTAATTAATGTGTATGTGTTTGTTTGTGTAACTAATTTGATTGTGCTTTAAAATTACTTTTTAATAAAATAAAATATTAATAAATAAATAATTATTATATTCGATTGATTTCGGTTCAATGTTGAAATAAAGACAAGTAAAGAAAAATGCTTATATGTTGTAATTTTAATGTTTCATTTTGTTCATGCAAAACGCATTTAATAAAAAATAATGTTAATACAAAAATAAGAAAGGGAAGAGCTATAATAAAAAGTAAATTTAATAAAACAAAATTAGATTTTAAGAATGTTATAAAAATAAATTTAATATTTTAAATTAAAAACTCTGATATCAAAATGATTTTTATTATAGTAATGATTGTTGTAAAAATTTGCCTTTTCAAATAAAAGTTATATTTTGTGACGCTGTAAAAGATTTTTGTTCTAGCACGTTGCAAAAGTCTATACGACGAAAAAAGTTAAAATAAACATTTGTACAATTTTTAAAACCTATTTTTTAAAGCTTTCAAGCTTAATTAAAAGTTAAACGTAAAATTTTTTCTCTTAGAAAAAAAAATTTTTTATTTGTTTTAGAGTAATCATCACCGAAAATAGAAACTCTTTCTCCATGGGAGCTTATAGGTCACAAAATATGAATCGGTTTCGAAAGGCAATTGATTTGCTACAAAACATCTTTTCCTTAAAAGTTTCCGTTGCTTCAATATTTAGAAATCTTACGTAACTTATGACTTTTTTGTTACAAGTTAAATTTACTTTTTCAGAGTTATTTATCCAACAATCCCCTGCGGATTTTCCTTTATTATTATTTTTAACACACCATTTTACGTATATATGTTAACTATGCAGTATAAACTGATTTATAAAAACTAACTAATATAAGGTAAAAAGTTTTGTTATTATACAAATGTATTTAAACATGCAAACTAATATGTAAATTAAAAATATATTTGCACAAAGTGAAAGTAATCCATTCGAACGATTACACAAAGTTTCTAAGAATAATGAAAAATAATAAAAAGAAATACTTAAAGCACATATTATCTTATTTATAATACAAATTTAGTGTTTTTAATTACAAACGAGAATATTTATAGATGCATTTACATATATTGCAAATATTTAAATTTTTAAAACATTTACATATAAAAAACAAAAAAATAATGAGAATACAAATACAATATAAAAACTGATTTCCGCATAGCGACATTTTAAAACTATATTTTTCTTTTTAATTTTAATTGCTATTTTTCCAAAATTTTTATTTAATATGTTTTTGCTTGTTTTTATTTCTTTGAAAAGAATGAAGTTTTAATTCCAATATATCATTTTAAAAATTTCAGCTATTTCTGTCGTATTTTCTACTTAATAAGCATTTCAAGAGAAGCAACAGAAAACAGAAAAATGGCAAGCCTCCTCTAAAATTTCTAAATTTACTTATTCATAATCTCAATTGCATTGTTTTGAGATTTAGAAAGCAAATTGTTTTTACGAGTATCCTATTATTAAAATTCAATAAACTTTGATATGGGAATAATTCTCCATTTTTGCATCTAAAAAAACCGGATTCTCGAAAACTGAAATGATTGTTTACAATATTTTTATGTACATCAGCGCCCCAAGTTATCATTATCAACCACGATTAATCAAAAATTAGTTTGATCATATTTTTGATATGATCAAAATATCATATCCAGATGTTTGAAATCATTATTTGATGACTTTCAGATCATATTTCTTTTTACAAAGTGTTAAATTAAAGGTCTGTATTTTGGGAACTGGTAGTTGTGACGTGATGCAAAAAATTGCTTTCGGATTTCGCTGAAGAACTTGAATTGAATAAAATGAAAAATATAGAGCGGTTAACTCCGCTCTATAAAATAGGGTTCCAAAAAACCTTGCCAGTTTTTCGGTCTTTTTTTATTTTATTTTAGCTTCTATTACATAATTGCTGACTACGTTTTTCGAATTAAGTTGCGTTTTTTGTACATTTATAATAGGAGTATAGTATTATACTCCTATTGTATTTTTAGAATTATAGTAAGTGTATAGAATTATATATATACAATTATATATATAATAAGCAGATATATATTTCGAAGTATATAAGAACATGTGGCGGGGGTTAATATCTGCAGTTTTCATATTTTTTTTGATAAAAGTTCTTCGTCAAAATCCGGAAGTATGTTTTCTGAATCACGGTCGTAGAACTTCCGGTTCAAAGGATACAGAGCTTTTATCACATTTCTTTGATCGATCTTATAGTTTTGTTTGATCAAAATTAAATTATTATGAAGAATTTTAATATAACTAATCAAAAAGCGATTAAAAAAATGTTTAATCTGATTAATTATAAATTTTGTGTAATTGATCAGTAAATGGTTAAATATAATCAGAATGTTTGGAGCATTAATGTTCATTTTGGAAAGAAATTAACATCAATTACGAATCAATGATGATCGTTTTAATTAATTGAAAGCTAATCTTTGATCTGTATAAAATAACCTTTGGGAAAAGTTTCACAATCTACTTAAAAATTTCAATTTGTGCATCCATTATAAATTGCACGTTTTCAATCACCTTTGTTAATAGAATTAAAGTAAAATTATCACCATGATTATCTATTTTGTATAATATATTTGTTTTTATGTGAATATGATATTTTATGAAGTATGTAAAATGAAAGCAGTATTGATTGATGAAAATATTAATCAATCTCTTATCGGATGGATTACTCGAAAAGCTGCATATGTATAAAATTCCATAAAGTTTATATTTATCCATATAGTGTACACTAGTTTGTATATTCAGGAATTTTTCCTTATCGTACATAATATATTTTTGGCAAACTAAAAACATTTCATTATCTGTTGACTAGTTTAGTAAATGTGCAAGCAAATAAATAAAGGCGAAAAAAATAAAGTTTGTTTCGCCTTTATTTATTTTAGTTTGGTGCACGCACTTATATATTTTCTATTTGGACAATATCGATATTCAGACAAGCAACAGTGAGATATTTTAAATATGAGTAGGTGTTTTAACAGTACCTTTTTAAAACTATTTAGTCCCTGTAATTTTTTTGTAATGTATTCTGATCTTAAATGAATATTTTTTTAAATTTTTGAATTAGGAATATTATTAAATCACAAAATAATATACAAATTGTGATGTAGTAATAATACCAATTTATGTGTTATTTTTGAAAAACTTGCGTAATATAATAAAAGTAATGAGAAAGTCATAGACAGAATTAAACTATATAATAAATTTGGGTCAAACCAATGGTTTGTATTGTAGCACTTTTCCCTTCAACAAGTGAAAGTTCTGCTTTTAAATACAGTCTATGTATACCTATCACACTATTAAAATTATTTTCATTCATATACAAAACTATTTCTAGGATTGCATATATTTAGGATGACGCATATATGCAGTCTTTGAAATAAAGCAAAAATTAATATAAAGAGGTAACTGAATGCTCGTTTTTAAGGGTTAATTGTGTGAGTTAAGAAAAATAATTATATTTTTTAATGTCATGGAATTTACCGTTAACTTTTTGTATCTAAAAGCCCCTAAAACTTCAAGCTTCTATGAGAAGAAAAACGGGGGATCTAGAAGAAAAACGACATCAAAAATTTGGGAAAAAAGGACTTTAGATAACGGTCAATTTGTTTTTCTAAAGTTTAACTATAGTATACTGCGCTAGGGGAAGCAAGCCGCTGCCTTTATGAGTTTGCAAAATTTCAGAAATGCTTATGGTTTGCAACAAATAGTTAAAAAAGGCCATTTTTAGGGTTTTGGGGGGGTATAACTTCTAAAGGGGGGGAGATAGGTAAAAATTTTGTTTTACAGATGTAAGTTTCTAGTAAAGATCTATGTACATATAAAATTTCAGCTTTCTATCTTCAAGGATATGGAAGTTTTGTAAACAAAAAAAGTGTCCACGGACGGACGGACGGACGGACGGACAGACGGACGGACGGACGGACAGAGTGAAACTAATAAGCACTTTTTTTCAAAAAATTTTTGGAAAAATGCTAAAAAATAACTTTCGTTAATTCTTAGATACTTTAGTTTGACGTGACATTTAAATTTTCAGACTATAAAGTGAAAAGGTAAGTTTTATCATAGGGCTAAAAATATTTATTTTTGTTACGTGTGTATTTGTATAAACAACAATAAATAAGTCATAACAGCCTTTAATTTAAAATGCAAATAAAGTCTCTTTTGATAATATTTTTTTATATTGAAATATGTAAACGATTTCTTATTCTTTTAATAAGAAATCTAAATTTTTTTTTACTTTTAAGATTGTAACAAAGAAAGTATAAAACAAGTAAAA